TGGCGAATTAAATTTTCGCCGCGGTACTACTGAATGTCAAAATGATGGGTTTGTTGTAAAATGAATTCGCCTTGTTTACAACAAACACATCATTAATTACCCTGATTTGTTTATAGTGAGAAAAAATGTCGAAACTTTTGCAACGCGTGGAAACTACGCTGCGCAGTTTTTATATTTTCAATTCGAAATTTGGTCAAAAAGAGGGCGAGGAGTTCAAAAAGATATTGTACTATAGCCCGCAAGACATAGAACTAAACACAAAAATCAAAGATGTTGGTCTCAGCGAAGCAATTGTACAATTTACAAGGTAAAGGGTAATGTGCATATTCATAGCAATTGGAGCAGTAAATAAGTTTTCATTGTTCATTGACTTACTATCACTAGCACGTTTGTTGGCGAAGACGACTGCAAAGCGCTGCACACTCAGAAAACAACTCAACTCTTTTATCAGCCCGAAATTGGCTACTGGATTGTAATGGTACTTAATGTGCCGAGGGAAATTAAAAGTAAAGATGGAATCGAAGTCCCTGAATATCGTGGGGCTGAGGTTCAAGATGGAATATATCGAGTTATTTTACGACAGTCGTATAATATGTATCGACTTAGCCAAGGAACATTTCATTCCAGTATGATAGTTAATGGAAAGGAAGATGATTGTTGCCGTGAGCAATTGCAAGGGAGGCTATCCGCATTTTTCGATGACGTAAGTTCCCCTTAATTGTGTCTTATTATTGTGACCGTAATTTTTTCAGTATTTACAATCGTTGAGGATTCCCGTCCTAGATGTATTGGCCTTTATGCACTCAGTACAATATTTACCACTTGGACAAGCATTATTTCTTCGTGCTCATAATTTTATTAATATGGTTCGCGCCACATTTTCTATTATACAAGATACTATTTTACTTTATGATGAGCGCATTATTTGGTAAGCTACAGCTTCAAGACTCATCGGAATTCCATATATTGTGTTTTGATATATTTGTTAATTTTAAGTTACCTTTTAGCGGTGGCCAAATTGGACCGACTGAATTGTGTAGTTTGCATAAGTTTGTGGTTGATTCCTTTTTCAAAAAATCTGAGTATTCAACGCGAAACGCACACAATGGAAGTCCACTCGTGGAAAAATACCATAGTGGTGCTTTTGTTACTGGGCTACAGAGTGTAGAGAATTCAACTGACTTACCTAAAGTTTACCTTGAATTGGCCGGGTCGCTTCATTGCTATTACCTGATCATTTTTAGAATCCTAAATGCTACATTGTGCCTCCTGATAAATGGTAAAATCAATGTTTTTCATCTATTTTTTACTTATATTTAATATTTATATTTTTTCAGCCGAGGAGAGCCCACCGAACAATGATTTCTACAAAGAATTACATTCATATATGGGCCCACAGTTATCGAGTATTGTGAAAGATATTGAGGAAACTTACTGTAAAGAACAAAGTCTACGTAAGGCAACCACTTCCGCTTCACTTTCCACTTTGACTTCTGCAACTATCGCAGACGACTGTTCGGTTCCGAAATATCTGTTTGTCAACGAGCAAAGCTTAAAACACCTTACGAACATACCTCACGATCATGGACAAATAAGCAAATCGCCGCAGTGTATTCCGGCCAATGTTATCAATCTTATAGCAGATCTCATTCCCTGTAAAGAATCTTATTCACCCTTGAAGGAAGTGCAAATTAAAACTACAAGTGATTTTTGGATTGTGCAGCGATGCTGGAACTCGCGGCAGTGCTATGTGATAATACACAACAGTAAAGCAACATTGTTGGATATAACACAAGAAGCAAGACGAGTATTTGATAAAGAATTCACAGATGATGTATTTTTTGACAAATAAAAAGTATAATCAAATAAATGAAAGGCGTTTTCCAGTTAAATCGGCGTACTTGGCCATGGTAAGATCTCATCTGTTGCGTAGATCGATTTCGGTGGCAAAGAATACAGCATGGTGAATTAGGGTCTCAAGCTAATATTGATGTACCACCCGAACTCTCATTTTCCGCAAACACCACATTGCTTCCGCTGTTAGAAGTACCATATCCAGCATTCCCACGCGTTACACTTCTTAATTTTACTATGAATATTCGGTGATTGCTCATGGAAATGTTATAACTATGATCATCATACACAATGGAAATGCGTTCGCAGCTGCTTTTTGGCATGAAGTTGTCGTCAACACTATGAGAGAGAATTAAAAAAAAATTGATTTTAATAGATTCGATTGCAATCGACATTATGAACCTGTTGCATTGGATATTGCAAAAATACGTTATACTCTTCAGGTTCGTAATTAAGAAAAGAACAAACCATTGTTTATGAGCAAAAAATATGCCTGGTATTACAAACAAATCACGTGTTATTGAATTTCGTTATTTTTTTGTTTTTGTTAATATTGTTTAGTATTGCAGACCATGTATTAATGTAATACATATCGTCGTTTAAAGTACAAAACCGCGTATCAACAAAATGCAAAACTGGGTATATGAGGTTGCAAATTCAACCCTGAACACATACAAAGCAAATTATCATAATGGACGAGGTAAGAATGAAACTTAACTAGCCAGATAATTTAAATAATAAACAATTTTATGCAATTATTTACCAAGGTTCATGAAAGAATGCGGATAAACTGATAAATTTAAGCAATTGAGGTTATTCTGCTAATTGGCAGTGTTAATATTTAATTGACTTAAATTTCAGTTTATTCAAACAATCCTTACGTACCCGCACTGTTTATAAATGACCAGATTCTTTGCTAACTTTCCTCTCAGCATGTTCAAGAAAAATATCGTAAGCGCCATTTTACCTTTAGACAATAGGGTATGCAAAAAATAAATTGTCCTATTAGAAAAAGCTAGCATTCAATAATGTTGTCCATTTGAATCCTATTAAATGTTTGCACTGTTTTAAAAAAAACCTGTAAAATTTACCTTTTGTCGCTTACACACAATCTTTAAAGGCGACACAACTCAAAATTACACGCTCGTCAGAAAATGCGAAAAACTATTTCTTAGCACATGCTAATCATAGGGGCAAGGAAGACTTTATCTTTACCTTTACCTTTATGGTTCACATCTCAACTTAGTTAACTCATAATTATATATATAATTAATCACCTACTAACTCAACTAATTATTATTATTTATTATGTTTTACCGATGAGCCCGAGGATGCTAGTGCTAGACAACTAACAGACAACTATGTTTTCGTTCCCACGACAGTCGGGTCTACGTAACCGGAACGACCCAGATTTATATCTGGCCAAGGACTGTCACTCCAGCAACACTCCCCAAAAAGTCTTTGGGGAATTTGTATGCTGCTACAACAACAACAACAACAACAACTATGTTTTCAATGTTGAGTTGAGTTGTCTCCCACAATACCAATTTACAACTTACAACTCAACTATCTTGAAAGTTGTGAATCATAATAGGGGCCTTAGGTTTTTTTCAGCAAATCGTAACAAAAATTTGCTCCATCTTTTGCTGAAAGGTAAATAAAAGCTCTGTGTACATTCTTAGTGCATAATTTCAAAAATTGCAAATTTTGAAGGCGCTTGCATATGGAATTCTGCCAGCGCAGGGCACTTGCTTATGGAGTTCTGCCAACGTTGGGCATGACTGGTATATACTATTCGCAACAAAAACATAATTAGCAAATATGTAATGGAAAAATAACCCGAATCCAGTTACTTTAGAAACTAAACGTTTTCAATTATAAATACCAACCTTTCTGTGAGGTGCAAGAGATCCAGGAATATATTTGCACTTCGTTCATCGTTTTCCAAATCTCCACTAGACTCTATGACCGCCCCGTCATCCTGCAGTACCAAATAACCAATTTGGTTGCTCAACTTCTCCATTCTATCTATTAATGGCACCCAAAGATATTTAAAATAAAATATTTTCATATGTCGTCACCCCCATGCCAGAAGCCTGAATGTGCAAATTTATCAGTTATGAGTTATTAACTTGATTAACCTTTGGATGTTCTATGTTATAGATACCAAAACCAAAAATACCACGCGTACCCGGAAACCAAATATTTTACAATTTAACTTGCAATAATTAAAATTTATACAAGTTGGTGAAGTTGGTGACAAATTTAGATTTTCGCCGCGGTACTTAATGTCAAAATCAAGGCGAATTTATACAAGTTGGTGTTGATGGCGAATTTAGATTTTCGCCGAGGTACGTCTTAATGTCAAAATGATCTGTTTGTTGTAAAATGAATTCGCCTTGTTTACAACAAACACATCATTTTGACATTGGAAGTACCGCGGCGAAAATCTAAATTCGCCATCAACACCACCTTGTATAAATTCGCCTTGAAGATTGCGTTACTGGCGAATTTAGATTACAACAACGACAACCATATGTATTTTGTATGGTGATTGTTATGTCAAATCTCAATTCGCTCCAAAGTTTACATGTATTTTGTTTTTGCTTTTGATGGGTGTTCTGTCAAATCAGTAAAAGCAAAAACAAAATACGGGTCAGGCGAAGATATCAGCTGATTTTACAATACCGCCTTGTATAAATTCGCCTTGGCCTTGGTAGAGAATTGTTACAGAAAATAGTTACTGGAACGAACTAGATGTGTTCGTTGTAATATGAATTCGCCTTGTTTACAACAAACACATCATTTTGACACTGGGAAGTACCGCGACGAAAATCTTAATGCCTGGGTTATAATAGAAGTAACGGAACGGAGTGAACTTTCTCTTAATTATCTATTGCATGGGAAATGAATGCAAATGGTTATAATGCACGTAAACGTAACGTAAGACGGAACAATCTAAAATCAATATATCCTTACGAATTCGCCGCAATTTGTTACGATTCGCCCCGTCCATTATAACCAAGGCATAATTCGCCATCAACACCACCTTGTATAAATTCGCCTTGCCTCGAATACTTCAAGAAAAAGTATAACTGTTAACTTGCTTAAATTTAAGCAAAACGGCAACGCTATTCGTACGCAGAAATGTCAGTCGACGTTTCTAGCGAGTAGTGTAGTTCTCGTTGCCATTTTGTAAAGTGCTCTTAAAACAGTCGAAAGTTCGTGTATCGTGCGCATTGAATCAATAATTAATAAAAAAGGAGGCTATCCGGTGCAAATTAAAAGTAAATTGTGAAGATCGAGTCTGGAATCAGTTTTTTGTAAGTTAGTTTAAGATTTCATAAATAGTTTATGGAGTTTATAGTAAGGATAGGTTGTGCTATGTGAAAAAAACTTTCGGGTCAGTGAAGCACCCGCCACACCCATTATGGAAAAAAGAGATTTTCTGCATTTATTGTTAATTCGAACTACAATGCATTTGAAAATGAAATAAATAGGAAGATCCAGTAAAAAATCAGCTTTTAGGACCAATATGTTTTAAATTAAAAATTCTGTATTGAAAAATCACAATTATGGAAAAAGTTTAAGAAGAAGAAGAATTTGAGGAGAAATCGTTAATAGGAGCGATGCCGACGTAAGCGACGTCATCGTGCTGCTTGCGTCGTGTACGAAGCAGACTGATTTTGTTTTTTGGAGAATGATTTGGACTGCTGTGTGTGTGTTGTTAAATTCAAAAGTCTTCAATTTCAAATCTTGTAGGAGGCATCTGAAAGCAATAAATAATACATTTTGTTTAAATAATATAGTTTTCTGCGTTAATAAATTGGTCAAAATCGTTTTATTATAAATCTTATTAGGAAAGAGTTACCACGTACAAAGCCCGCTATAAATGTAGCATATTTTTAGGGACGTAATTTATCTAATTTCCTCGTTATTAAAACCTTTTACAGCGGATATGACAAATGGTTTTTTTTTGGTTATTTGGGTTTCTTATGTAAAACAGTACTGTTAAATATTGCCAGGTTTATAAGTTAATTTTTTTTTTGTTATTTCCTGACTCCCTCGCCGCTCTCTACGGGCTCTTAAGTTTCTTACGGTAAGTTAAGTTTTATCAAGTGCCAACACAGTTTCTCATATAACAGGTTGGACAAAATACTAAGTTAAATAAATTAAGTCTAGACTAACTGAGCTTTTAATAATCTAAAATCTACAGGTTTTACAGGCCAAAATACTAAGTTAAGTAACATGTCGAGCCCTGACCGCCAAAAAGGCGTTCAAAATTTTCTTTTTGATGCAGAAATGTTCCTAGAGCATCCGGATGCATTTCTGCATCAAAAATAAAATTTGGAAAAAATATCGCTTACATCTTTTTGGCGGTTGGGGAGGTGGTTAGCGGGTTTACACTCGTAAGGCGACGAAGTGGGTCATCATGTGATACTAATTCCCGATGACATGCTTCAACTTTGCTTAGGTTTATGGTCCTTTAGCGGATTGAAGCGATGATTCAAAGAGCATGCGCTATTCAACTTTTTGATTGTGTTTGTTATTATACACATTTGTATCTACATATGTTTGTATGGATGTATGTATGTGCATACATTCTCGTAGGTACACGCAGTTGTACTCACGTTTAAAGAATTCTTTTAATTAAGTTATTCTCATCTTCGGCACCTCTGCTAACTCCGTTCAATGTTTTCGCTTTGTTATTTACACTTTTTTTCTTCGCGTCGCTCATACTATGTATGTACATATGCCAGTTTTAAAGCTAATTGTTGGTATTTGCTTAAAATTACGTCATTTCCTATTTTTGATTAGAATTTGTGTACTATGCGCTGCATTGTGTCTTTTGTACTGTGGACTCTAGCGTTGCCAAATGTCCCATATTTGCGGGGACATCCCTTATTTTGTATTAAATTTCAAATGTTCCGCCGGGACAAGATTTTTCCCGAATTTTCGTCAATTTCATTATTCATTTCAGTTTGTAAACTTCTACTCAACATGGTTATGCTTTCGCGCGGCTACTGTGACTAGGTCATTAGCAAGAATTATTGCATGCAACTTTGTAAGAGAAATATAGCTAAAAAATTGCAGTTCATTTTTTTTTTTGTGGAGTATCTTGCGAATTTTCTTCGATATAACGCATGAACTAAATTGACTTTGATATGCAAGAAAATGCGCAACACCCTCTGCAAAAAAGAAATTCTAAAAAATCAGTGGTACTTGAAACTTGCGACTTTTAAAACCACATACTCGAAATCTTTCTAGGAAATCTAATTAAAAAACGGAAATTTTGATGAAAACTTTTTTAAGTTTAATTAGTTTTTGTGAACTTTGTGCAAGCTTTGAAACTTTCATTTATGTGGTATTTGATATAGATCTACCCATATTTTAAATGAAAATTATTAACAATCATTTTGAAATTTCCTGCTACTATTTTGACCGCAACTGTATCTGTTATTTTGTTTTTATCGTTTTGTCTATATGTCTACGTCAGTGCACGGACTTTACCATTTTGTTGGTAGATCTACCAACTTTTTAGCTATATTATATTTTATCCATTTTTACCAACAAAGGCTAAAAATCTACCAATATTTTGCGGAAAGAAAGCAAAAAGATTTAACAGATTTGTAAGTATACCATTTTAAAAGTGCCCATCGTCGCGGCGGTCGCAAAAAAATATATGTAGAAAAAAGGGTTTTTTCTTAACAGCGGTCGACCCTCTGCAGGCAATGGCAAACCTCCGCGTGTATTTCTGCCATGAAAAACCGCTACTCATCAATATACAATCGCCGTTCGGAGACGGCGCTTTGTGTGCCAACATCAAGGCGCACGTCACAAATCGGAGGAGAAGCTCGTCCAATCACTATCTGTTGTTATTAATTCAAATTACACGGTGCTACAAAAAAAAAAGTCATAGGCATATTTTTTGCAGCGGCAAACTTGAAGGCGCAGTAGAAATCACAGCAGTGATTAGCTAAAGTTTGTGACTTTGCTAGAATACGGCTGCTAGTTTAGGTTGTAGGCATGGTCGAGTACAACATGAAAATAGGTCCCTCAATTTTTGTATACCAAAAAAAAACTTTATTTTCGTACTTGATGCACTTATCTATTAATAGCTTGACTATTTTCCATCTTAAAAACTACTTGACCGATCTCGATCAAATTTGATATATACATTGAGCTTGGCCTCCTTACGCACCGTGTTGATGGACCGTTTTTGAATTCACTAAATCTGGCATCACTGACTGGAGAAGAACTTGGCTTCAATTGGCCCAGAAGAGAAACGACTGGGGTGCTTTGATATTCAGTGTTGCCGTTTTGATCCAAATGAATCAAAATGATACGTTTTTCATCGAAATTTTAAAAGATGCTTTTATTTTTAGCTTAGTATAAATTGTGATACATTTTAATTCACAAGTTGAGGGTAACTCTTCCTATCTTAAGACTTTTATGTGTTTGTGGCCACACATTAAGTTTGTTTCTTTTCATTGAACATACCACCTTTAATCTGCATATGGCATCACTGTTAGCTACAGCACACTATCCTGTTCCCGTACTCCAGGATTTAGTCCGAAATAGTCCGAAGTCGTTTGCTTTCGCACATTTATCATATATTTTGCGAACAATTTCTCACTAAATCATGGAGAGCGGGAACAGGCTAATATTGCCTTATTTCCTTTTTGATTTTGAAGCTGTCGGCTGTGGTACTGTGCTAACGGCAATGTCACACGATTTGTACGTACAGATTTGTACATTTTGGCAGTCACAGAGTGGTGTTCTATAGAAATTTTGAGTTCAGCTCAATAAAAGAATTTCCAAACAACACTACTACTTTTTCAAAAAAATCTGAAAAAAATATAGTACACCTCAAATATATAAAGTATTTTTTTTTTCGAAAAAAATAAAAATGCTTTTTAAGTGTACATCTTTTTTCTCATGCACTTCCTCTATAAAAAAATATATTTCTTTGAAAGTATCACATGCTTTATCGCTATCAATATTTAAATTAATACAAATCAAAAGCTATTTTTTTATTAGTGAGATATTCGTTTTATTACTCTTATCTCACCATTTCAAAGTCTTAATAGAAAAATCTCTTTTTCGCATACGATGTTTTCTTCCAACAGTATTTAGTACGCAGACCCAAAAAATAGTACAATACTATATATTATAGTACGGTTGGAAACCCTATCTGTAACTGCCAAAATGTACAAAGCCGTACAAATGTACCAATCGTGTAAAACTGCCTCAAGAATTTCATCCAGAGTAATCCAGTAAGTATTG